ATGTTTTGACTGATGAAAATGTGACGACTAACTCTCAAATTATCGATATGAGGAAGCTTGACTAGAGGATAATGACTAAGAGGAAAATCAAATCGATATTGAACGAACGACATTGAAAAATTAACTCAAGTAAACATCACTGACGAGTAATAACTGCTCAAAGATGGAGGGTGTGCCACTGAATAATGCGTTCCATCGATGGCTCCTGCACCCGGAGTTGTAACAAGAGGTAACAAGCGATAACATAATTTTTCTCCCCTGATCTTCTCCTCGCCAGAAGACTTTCCTCAGCCCGTCCTCATTTTTATCGAGAACAAGTGAAAATTTCTGAGATAATCAAATTGTGCTTCTGCAACCGTTTAAAACGGTTGATCGATGGTTGATGGTCAAACGGAAAGTTTCCTTTCATCATCTCAGACATTACTTCTGAATGATCTAGGCTAACGTTACGTGGTGAACAGTTTCTCGAATCTACTGGTTCTGCTACAGTAGGACACCAATAGCGCTGAAAGACAGAGAGAATTTGTCACGGTATGCAAGGCCCTACAAAATTCCCATTTGCGAAGTACCTGTCAACATAACTGACAATCGAAAGAGGTCGCTGAGTGTGCAAGCTTGAAAGTTCGACCTCGTCAGACGAGTTAGCCTAACGATGAACATGGCACACGATTTCTTTATGGGTGGTTGATAAGATGAGGATATTTTCTGTAATTTTCAGGGTAATCTCGAAGATGAACCATCAAACTCGGTTCGAAACTTAACTGGCGGTCGATAAACAGATGTAACTAAACGCTTTATGTGATGTTTTCCCGAGAGCCATTAAACATGCAAAAACCAAAGCTTTTCAGTAAGGTTCATTCATACTGAAAAAGTGAATTCGACGAATCAACAAACCATAGGCTACAGTTCATTCAAATATGAAAGTTCATCTGCAAAAGAAACTTCAGGCTATGTACATTCGAATTCTTCTCGCGTGCGGTTTATTGGTCGACATGCTTTTACGACAGTAGCCGCATTAGGACGGTACTTCCCTCGGTACACTGTTCGGCGATTCGCTAAATTCTTGCTCCCTGAAATACCTTTCAGAGTACCGACGAGGAAAGTCGCACAGA